TGTATGTATATGTGTATGTGTACTGTGTATTGTTTTTCGGCACTACCTTGTTCTCTATAGCTGATGTAAGGTGAATTACTCCTGTGTGGGATCAATAAAGTTCTTATCTTAGCCATCTGAGAAGATCAAATACATTGTTTCTGGTGCCTAATTGTTTCCCAAGTATATTAGTGTGTGTGTGAATGAATACGAGAGGCATTAACGTAAATTTCTTTGAAGAAAGGCGCTTTATGAAATTAAGTCCATTCACTTGTATTGGTTTACAGCGCAGCCTTGCCACATCCAATATGGCGGCGACGTTGATGTATCGCAGCAGCGCTCGATGCGGCGTCTATGTATATATGTCTATGCTGGAAACTGTCCGACTTTGCGTCTTTTTGTCACCGCCGCCTGATCTCGTCTACTTTCCAGGCGGGGCGCAATTCATCTCGAACAAGCCTAATATTTGTGATTATGAGATAGGCTACTCTGTCAAAACCAGAAACCAGAAGGTAGTCTCAAACTTGTGATGTCATCCAAGAGTGAATTCCGGAGCTGCTTTAAATTGCCTGATTTTTGTGGATCCACAGAAGTCTTTTGTAGCCAAGTGAGCTTTATTCTACTGTAGTGTTCCTGGCTCTGAAACAGAGAAAATTTCCCCATATACTCAGAACATTCCCCTGGGTGCTCTGTGTCACCTAACATCTTTCAACATTTATTGTCCGCGCAGCAGCTCCAGACTTAATACTTTTTTTTGGATTTGGGAGAGTTGTTTGTTTACTAGTATTGAGATCAGATATGATTCAATATTCAAAATATGACCAACATATAAAATTAATTGCTGTGGATAAAATCAACCAACTGTTATGCAGTTAGTCATCACAACCTCTTGAGTTGCACGATGCTGCATGCATATTAATGACCCAACCTATTATCTAATGTCAGTGGTGGAAAGAGTATTAAGATCCCTAGGTACTACTACCACATTGAAAATTCGCCATGAAAAGTAAAAAATGCATTCAAAACTTTACTTTAAAGAAAAACTATGCAGTATCACCAACATGTACTCAAAATATCAAATGTAAAAGTGTTCATAGTGTAGTAAAATGTTCCCTGACAGTGTTTTCCTCCTCTATCTGATCTCTGGATTAATATTCCTGATGTGTTCATGTGTATGTCATTTTACTGCTGTAGATGTTTAAGGTTGTGCTCATTTAACTCATTTATATACTTTTGGGTAGTTTATTCTACAGTAATGTATCAAATTCTATAAGTTCATCATATGTTTGTAGCAGGACTGTCCTGTGAGATCATGTGTCGAAAAAGTCAGAGCAGCCCTGTTTTCAACTTTGAAATGATGAGTTTTCTAGCTGATCCAGGAGGGGGTTTAAAGTTTATTTAGCTGAAGAGGTAGGAGAATTTTCTTAACACATAGAGAACACTTCATCCATCAATTTATCACACACGTTCAGCATCAGGACATAAAGATACATGGTTTTCACCGGACAGGACGGGGATGATACACTCTCATCTGAAAAGTAACTCAAGTTGTCAGACAAATTTAGTGGAGCAAAAAGTAGCCTACAACTTCCCTCTAAGAGATGGTCTTGATAGTATAAAGTTACATAAAATGAAAATACTCAAAAGTGCAAGTCCCTCGAATTTGTACTTATGTCTGCTACAACACTTGAGGAAATATACGTAGTTACATTCCAACATTGTCCAATGTACATAAGACAACTTTGAAATAAATGGTTATGCGTAATGAGATCTTTGACAAGTAAAAGTGCATTGTACAGATAAAGTATTTTCGAACAAAAGGCTGAATGCTAAAGTGCATACACATGTGCTACACTCTGGCATGTTGCTGTGACCAGATCTTCATGGTCTTCACTGTTTTAAAATATATTACATTGCCAAGTGTATATTGGACTGATCTGCAGAAACGACTTTCCTCACTTGTCATTTAAGGCTGTACAGTTGCATAAAAAGGGCTGCTCGATGGTTAAAACTATAAAACAGGCCCTCCTCCCACGTAACCAGCTGCAATGTAACCACCCGATTGCATGTTTCTGAAAACTAAACCATATGGGGTTTGAGACCACACCCTCGTAATACTGCACCCTGTCATAAATGTAGATAACTGTTACACACTGTCCGCGGAAGTGAATTAAAACAATCAAGACTATGGCCATATTTCTACGCTCGGAGTAGTATTTTTGTGTATAACACGTTTACATAGTCCTAGATAGCATGAACTACTAATGGTCCGCCATGCTTTTATTTTGAAGGTTGAAACCGAACCGGTAGTCCGTCTCCTTTGTTCTCATAATTAGCTAGGTAGGCTAAACGTTTAAGTCGACCGGCCAAGCGGACCTCCTCTCTGGGTTTTGCTGGTTAGTAGTACCGTTAATGGCAACATACCTGTCGTCAGTTAGCTCTTGCTGGAAGCTAACTTTATAACGTTACAACACACAAAAGATAGACACGTTGGTGTGTTCGTAACATGGTGTCTAGAAGTTGAGGAACTTGGTTTGTGTCGAGTTATTTGATGCTAACACGAAGGGCTAACGTTAGCTACGGTCTGACGGAAAAACTCAACTAACGTCGCTGAAGGTGAGCATTTGTTTATCATTTTAGTTAACGTTCATAATAGACACCATAAATTCGAAAATTGTTTACAGAAATTGTATAAAACCAACTGACACTAGTTGTGAACCAATCTTAATTTCTAGTGAAAACCTAATTTACAGGTTAGCGAAGACAACTATCAAGACCTGTGTAACATTAGCTAACTCGCATTGATGTTGACAAGGAATTGAAAGTAAGCTTTAATGCTTAACCGTCTTAATTGTCTCTTCTTTAATTTGCAGGGATGCAGAGTGGAGTAATATGTTCCGGGAGACTGAAAAGTTAAACAGGTTTGTCAAGCGATGACGTTAACGTTAATGTTAACGTGAAGCCTCACGTGGAACTAGCCGTTGCTAACTTGCTTATTGAGCATATCTGAAAGTAATGTTGAGTTATTGAAAGCAACCTTGGCAGCTCCAAAGGTTGCCATATTGTAAAAAAAGACATGTAGACGAGAAGCCTGACTTATAAATGCTGGCATTTCATTAAGAGAGTCACAAGTAATATAAGCAGGGGTCACTCCTTGTTTCTGTTGAACTGCTCAAACACACCCACAGGTGTGTCTATGGCCTGTGGACGTCATTTTGCCTAAACCTGAATCCTTGTGAACAAGTATTACAACTTCACAGCTGAACTGGCAATACGTACATGCTTTTCCAGTAAGCTCTCAGAGCTGCCTGCCCAACTTCATTGAGAGGAGCTGAAAACTGAGTGTCTGCTAATTTTAATTCACCTCCAACAATCTCTGTGAGAAAGCATGACAGCTGTGGTAGGCAGAGCATGGGGGTGGGTATTGGGCTCATGGAACAGCAGAGCGGTGTCAGAGAAGACCACAGTGGTGAAAGCCAAGGGCCAGGAGCATGGCTTCAGAGGAGAGGGCCTCGGGGGGTGGACTTCTTGGATCTGGGGAGGGTGGAGATGTCAAAGTGACCAAAGTAGTCCAGTAGAGGAGTACTGGGAGGCGCAGGAGAGGCTTCAGCCCATGGAAATTGAAGATCTTGGTGCAGGGAGACAGGAGACAGATGCAAGTTCAGAGCAAGTATCTAGATGGTGGAATAAGTATCTCCCAACTTCTTATTTTTCATGGCCAAGAAAAACAGAAACAATTGGATTAAGACGAAGGAAATGTGATGTTCAAAGTAGAGATGCACGGGACTGTGATATTGATGGAGACTTTTCTGACTATGGAACACCTCCTCCTTCTCCTACACCTCCTTCCTCTCAGCTGACATCTCCTTTTCGACTCTTTGCGCACAGCTGGAAGGTGGAAATCCTACCAGAGCACTACGAGATTTGTTTTAACTTCCTCCGCCACTTGTTTGATCTGTTCGTGGTTGGCTTCCTGTGGACTGTGTCCCCCCCTGCCAAGCTGATCCTGGAGGTGTTGGGGGTCCAGGGAGCACTGAGGCTGTGGTTTCATGGTATGGCCATGTTTTTTGTCTCCACAGTTGGAATGGCTGGATTACTCTGGTTGATCCAGGAGTATCTCCCTCAGTTTGCTTTGATCTATGGCATCATCCAGGCATTGGTGATCTCTGTCAGTGTTCGACAGAGTGTGATCCTCAGCATAGAAGAAGAAAAAGAAGAAAATGATGAGGGGGGCAAGGAGACCGAAAAAATGGAAGACTGCAGGGAACATAAAGAAAAGGTTATGTCTATAAACAACAAGGTGAAGACAAGTTAAATAAAAGGTAAGCCCCTTAATTTGTCTGATGTGCTGTTAGATAACATTTTATCACCTGATAAGTTTTTTTTCTTAATCTAACTGTGTGGTGTTCTATCAGTGTTTTGGTTTTATGACTGCATATGTTAAATTAAAATTACAAAAACTTGCAAACCAAAAATGTGAGTGCATTACATCACCATGAAAAACTGCTTAATAACAGGAGCAGGTAAAAGGACGGACAGCTGAAGATGTACTGTCACTGCAAGTAATCTCCAGGATATAAAATGAAGCTGGATGAGCCCTGCAGGCCCCTCATCATGGACAGCTGTAGCAAAAGACTCGAGTAGTCTAGTCTGGAAGTGATGAATGCATGAAAATACTACTTGCACATTCACTAATAATAATCCTATACTGCTAATATATCACCCAAAAGGGCAGTTTTTCTGCAGAACAAGCACTTTAGAAAATGTCTAATTTAGTTATGCAAGACTTTGAATGCTGTACTTTAGAGCTTTATATATTGTGGCTAGAGTTGTACTGATACCAGTATCGGAAATGCCCCCGATACTGCCTAAAATGTGGCATCGGCCATTGGTGAGTACAGCCTATGACCAGTCTGATACCATGTAATGCCTCACGTCATTACGTATATGTACGCTACAGGCAAAAGAAACGGAAAGGGAGCGGAGTAGTTTTATGGCATTCATTCTACTTTTATGTGTTTATTTCTTAATATTTTACATAGAATTTTAGGAGTTGAGACATAGAACAATTTATATCCCATCCATTTTTATTTTACGCGCTGGTATTGGATCGGTACTCGGTATCGGCAGATACCTAAGGTTCAGGGATTGGAATCGGTTTCGGGAAGGAAAAATTGGTATCGGTACATCTCTAATTGTGGCATTGCTACTTTTATAAAGGTGAAGTATCTGTTTCTTTTGACACTGCTTTTAGAAGCGTTTAAAAATAGAGGAGCTGTAGATAAGAGTGGTTAGTTGTTTAATAGACAGCCAACCCTGATTTTGGCCACAGTTTGGTGAGTTCTGGTCATGCTCTAAGAAATTTGATAAAGGCAAGACATAATCATTTTAAGTGGCAATAAAGCTTAGTATTTATGCACAGTACATACTGCCAGTTTAGAGTGATTTTTTTTCAGCTTCATGTGAAACCTTGTTATTGAAGACAATCACAATGGTATTTGTGTCTAGTAGTAGTTCACTTTGGTCTGAAGGGAGAGTTGCCATTGTGGCAAGATCAGTTTGTATAGTTGAATGGGCTATTTTATTGTAGTGATCAGAATAATACTGAACTGTGTTACATGGAGATTCTGGAAGAACTTGTGTTTTATTTGTTGGTTAAGGGGCGTGTGCTCATACATCCTGATGTATGTGTTATCCTGCATTAAGCGCATACTTATATTACTTACTAGGCTGGGATTCAGTTATTCTAATCCAGATACTGTGAGAGAAACAGGTAAAATATGTACTGCTCCCTCAGTTGGCATTCAGCATTCACACACACACACACACACACACACACACACACACACACACACACAGAGTTAGGCCATCATGCATTTGTTTTGATCATCTTACCATAGAAAAGGAAATGTAAGATTCTCTGGGTGGTGTGAAACTGATACCACTGGCAAAAAATAAAATGATTTCTCAGGGAGATAGATAATAGATACAGTGGTGGAAAAAAGTTTTCGGACACCCTTAAAATTTTACACAATCTCAAATATGATCATGAAATATTTGTGGAAAAATCTTTTTGTGTTTCAAAAGGTGTGGCTGCATTAGACAGATACAAACAAATACAAATTATATTTTTTTATTTATTGTTTACAAGAAAAACTAACAAAACTAAATTCTTGACAGTTTCAATATGTCAGTTCTCAACATTGTCGGTATCAAAGTCAACAAATAACAGAATGTGTTCAAAACTGAACAAAAAATAAATAAACCACCACATCATCCAATTAATATTTAGTAGTCCTGCCACTGGCATGTAGTAGAGCTCTAATCCTGGCTGGCATGTTCCCCACGAGCCTTTCACACTGTTGAGGGGTAATCTTGTCCCATTCTTCTTGAATTACTGCTTTTAATTCTTCCAAATTATTTGGTTTATGCTTTGAAACAGACCTTTTGATAATCCACCACAGATTTTCAATGGGGCTCATGTCCGGGGATTGAGCTGGCCACTCTAAGACCTGGATACTGTGCTCCTGCAGCCAAGTTCTACTGGCCTTGGATGTGTGGCAAGGGGCATTATCTTGTTGAAACATCCAGTTTTTACCTCGACGGAACAGTGCACACGCAGAAGGGAGCATGTGGGTTTCGAGAATGGTACAATACTTGGTAGAGTTCAATGTGCCATCACAGACAGTGAGATGACCAACACCAGCAGCACTCATGCATCCCCAAACCATGATACTGCCTCCACCATGCTTGACAGTAGGTACTGTACATGCTGGAGATAATGCTTCGTCTGGCCTTCTGCGTACCCTCACATTAGTAGGAGGAAGATAAAGCTGGAAACTGGACTCATCTGACCACAAAATCTTCTTCCAATTCCTGGCTGTCCAGTTCTTGTGTGCCTGGGCCCAACGACGCCGGGCTAACCTCTGTCTCTCATTGATCAGGGGCTTCTTGATAGCCTTGTAGGACCTTAAGCCGTGATCTAAAAGTCAGCCACGTACAGTGCGGGTGGAACACTGGACACCAGTTTGGTTTGACCACTGCTGCTGAAGCTCCTGTGATGTCATTCGGCGGTTTTGCCTGCACATGCGGATCAGGATGCGGTCATTTCTTGCTGAAGAAACCCTTGGACGCCCAGATCTCGGTTTGTCTTCCAAGCTGTTGGTTCGTCTGTATTTCTGCAGAGTGTATCCAACTGCTGAAGGACTGCATCTGCACTTTCTGGCTATCTGGCGGCAGCTGTACCCTTCCTGGCTGAGAATCTTTATCTTCAGGCGTGTTTCCTGCGTTAGGTTCCTTGTTTTAGCCATTTTTGTGTCTGAAGAACTTTCAAATGTGCTGGCTTTATGTAGACACGAAGCTTGGCAACAAAAATTGTGTCTTTTAATAAAAAGAACGACCTTCATCACTGGTACCAAAATGACCCAATACTCAAAATTTCTTATGTATTTTTATGGAACCAATCAATTTTAAGTTTTTAATGGCTTTTTTAGGATTTATTTAGTATTTTGGCTGTGACTGTACTAAAAGAAATTGCACTTGAAGACCTAAGAGTGATTCTTAATGCAATATTTCACAAATGCATGGGGTGTCCGAAAACTTTTTTCCACCACTGTATAATAGATAGATAATTCAGTTTATTTGCCCGAGACCTCTGATCTCCAGCTGCTTCAGTTGTTCTCAGAGAAATGTGCCATTAGTGTATATTATATGGAAACAACCATTAGCCTGACAGCAGAGATGAGGGAATACATTTTGTAGAAATAAATGCTCTAATAACTTACTCTGGACTAGGGATGGGTACCGAAACCCGGTAATAAATTGGCCCCGGGGCTAAATTATCAAAGAGCGTAGTATTGATAAGCTCTGATGGTATCGGTTCATTCATGGGTATTTTAGTTTAATTAATTATCCTGCAGCCTCTCATCTGCGCTCTGTGCCACGGCTGAGCTCCTCCACATACACATCCACACACACAGACACGACAAACATAACCAGTGAACAGCCAAGCGGCCGCGGTGGTAACAAAGTTCACATCAGCTACACTCGTTACTGTAAGTGAAATTAAACCGTAGAGAGTAAGAAGCTAATAATTTATCAATACATGTGTTTACCAAGCATGAACATGAACATGAACAATGATATTCAGTATGCTCTGTCCACAGTCTCTAACCCACCGCCCCCAATGTTACGTTTTACACGCTGATTTAGACAGCACCTGAATTCTTACTAATAAGCTCAAAAGACAGCTGTCTGTATGTAGACTAACTTAGTTGACATTTCTTGTAAAATTGGGCAGATACTTTTAAACTTAGCTGCTGGCTGAGACAAAGCCCCTTCTCTGTCTTCTGAATCACATCAGCAGCGAGGGAGCAGAATAGAGGACAGGTGGACAGAGGACAGGAGAATACTAAACATAACTCAGTAGTGTCATGTCAGGAATATTATTTATATAGTGACTTTGCTGTTGTAAAAAATGCTGCTCTAGAAACTAGGGATGTCCCGATCCAGCTTTTTCCCGTCCGATCCGATACCGATATTACAGCCTTGAGTTTTGGCCGATACCGATACTGATCCGATACATATTCACTTATTTTGTTGTCAGTCATGTTAGAAAAGGTTTGATCAAGCAATATTACTCTAACAAGAACAACTACTTAATCAGGTTAGTTAGAATGATCCACAACAGTTGGTATGAGAACTGACCCGTTTATTGTTAAAACCCTCCTGTGATCTTCGGGTCTTTTTGACCCGAAAAAAATATTCGCTTAATCATAAAAGTGGTGTTTTTTCATCTACATGCACCAAAATTACATATAATGGGCCTGTCATGCCCATTATAAATATAATTTATTACCACAACTTTTGATTGAATTATGGGTGTTCTACTGAAAGTGGACACACCTATAGCCTTCCCGGGTCAATTTGACCCGGTTGTAAAATGGGTCACATTCCAGCAGATGGTGACAAATACACACACACACACACACACACATATACACATTTACAGACCATCACAGACACACATAGGCACACACACATCACAAACTCACACACACACACACACACTCACACACACACACACAGACACACACACACCCGCACACACACAGACACAGAACTACAAAACACAACTTCCTATTACAGGTGTGTAAACAAAATTTCAAAATAAATTTTGCCTCCATAATGACTCAGACTTTCAAGACAACACACAGAGGCACACACACACACAAACATTCACAAACACACACACACTTCAAACCACAGGTGTGTAAACTAAATTACAAAAACAATGTTTGCCTACAAAATGAATCAGAGCTAC